GGAAAGGCATCGCTATCCGACTGCAAGGCGGAAATGGACAAGACCTGAGTGATGAAATGCAACTTCTGATAGCAGATACTTCTGGTGGGTAGTCGCCTGGGTACGTATTTAACAGCACGCTTCCCTGTGCTGGGGAAGCTTCGGGCTAGTGCTAGCTATTAGGTTTCGGTGGAATCTCCTGTAATTGTACAAAACACTTAATGCAGAGTCTGCATAGAGGAGGTGCTGCTTCTCTCGGCTGCATTCCCTGGTTAAGTGGACTTAACATCTACCTCGAAAGCCTTACACCACTCACCTGGCGGAAACCTGCAGGAAGCTCACGCCGCATGCGTGGGAGTTGGCCATCCCAAGTGGCTTTTTTTTTTCTTCCATATGTAGCCAAAAAGGACTGCGGATAGCGTCGGTGCGACCCATTCGAACCTTGTCACGTTTGAGCTATCTTTACCCCGTGATTTACTTTTAGTAAGGATAATCATGGTGAAAATATTTGCAGACAGCTGTTACAGTGCACTATATGGTCACCAAGTAACCTTATATTTTTCTTTATATATTTTACAAATGTCACCCCTGTCGTTGAAGCAAAGACAGAAGAGGCAGGGTTGGGGATGGTTAAAAAAAGTCCCGAGGTGATGGCAAACATTTAATTTTAATGAATGACTTTTTAGGGTTTATGCAAAATGCCCTCAGCTTGCTACCGGAGATGCCCGGCTGTCTCCCAGACTCGAATACTCTCGCCTGGATGTTTCTGAACTGTCTCCCGATTTAACTTTATGGGAGTCTACAGGCGGCTGGGCTGGGCATTCTGATTGGCGTTTTTTTGTCTTTCACATTCCTCCTTAAAACTCTTTGTTCGAATGCAAATCATCTCTTTAAAATACTATTCTTAAACCGAGGCCCAGAAGAAAGAAGCCATTGGTAAGCCAGGACCACGCATCCGAAACTGCTATTCATGCACTGGAATAAAAATGTTTTGTTTTTAATTTTAAACCACGCCCTGGACTCCAGGAGTGTTTGAGGAGAGGTGATGCTCCAAGATCGCCTGTGGATTGCAGGAAGGGCGGCGTGGAATTTGTGGTCGTTCTGTATTTAATGTAGTCGCCTAGTGACAAGCCACGTCGGTCTTAGGTGCCTTAAATTACTGCACGACGTCTTGTCTCGGAGCCCAATCCGGTGTTAGGAGTGAAGATGGCTGAAGTGCAGAACCGGTCACCCTCCACGTCTGGTGTATGTTCATCGAGTCACGAGTGGAGCGTATAGGGATGTGATGGACACATTGTCAAGTGTTTCTATTGCTGTGATGGGGGCTGAGGGTCCTGTAGGTGCCGCTGTTTTCAGACTGTAGTTTTATACAGGTGCCGACCGTCTTGTCATGTATGTGCTGTGCACACCGAGATGCCGAATAAACGGAGAGCATTTGCCATGCAAGAGAGTCCCACCGGGCTGGATGTAAATAATTGGGGGAGGTACTGAAAACCATTAAAACCTGCCTTGAAATGCCAAGACCTGGCTCCTCCTCCTGTCTCCCAATGTCTATTTGAGGCCTTGAGCCCCACGTGGCTGGGGCTGGGCTTGGGGTCGGGGGAGACGAAATTTAGCCAGCTGTGTCCACACAAATGTGGCCTGGAAGACAGGAGCCTGGAGGGAGGTGCAGGGGGGTGTTCGTGTCACCAGGTTCCCCGATGACTCTGAATGTTGCAGTTTATTCTCATGATGG